TTGATAAAAAGCATCCAAAAATGAAGAGAAAGTGGAATGCCTCATGGAATCATAATAAGAAAATTGCAAACAAATTGCATATTATTATAATAAAAAAGAAGTGCTAAACCTACAAGGGTCATAGAGTGCAGCAGGGTAGGGAAGGGTGCAGGGGTATTGGGTAGCAAGAGGGAGGGGGATTATTAGTAGGACATGGAGTGCAGCAGGGCAGGGGATAGTGCAGGGGTAGAGGGTAGCAAGAGGGAGAGGTAGAAAGGGCTGTGAGGAGTGCTAGAGGCATCATCATCAAAGTTTGTGCAGTAAATCATTTGCTGTCAAAAAGTCAACGAGAGAGTCTGGGTTAAAGGAGGGTCAATCAGCAAGAAGGGAAGGTAAAGTAAGGGCAGTAGAGCAGTGGCGACATCAGAGGTAAATTCTACATGCTCGTTGATAGAGTGGGAAGTCCAACAGAATATGGCTAAAAGAAACTGGAATGGGTGAGTTCAGGATTCCCTCACCATGGGTTCAAGTCTCTCCCATTCCATGATTTGGGTGGAATGTCCTTCATAGTGCATGACATACAATTGTGGATGCACTTTTTCAATTGCAGTTACAGAAAAATCATACTATATTGATGAGCTTTATAAGAAAGCATAATCATTTCTCTTTATCAGAGATGGATTTAATAACATTCTGCAGATAACAGTGGAAACTTGACAGATCTCTGAAGCTCTACACAGCATGAATGGTTATCCAATAAGTTTCTTCTACAGTGTCTCTCTTACTTAGCAGTCCTAATTGGTGTCGGAGGCATGTCAAGAGGTATCAGTTATTGATGGTATATAATGCCAATAAGTTAGTGAATGAGACACATGCAGCAACTGGATATCTATTTTTTAAATGTTTTGCATGGCCAACAGGTTTCTTCAGTTAAATACAAGGGAGTGTAACACTGGAGACAGCAGAAGAAATTATTTTGATATAATCAGTCCCTTAATCTTAGTAGGATAGGGTCACTCCCTCAGCATACAGGAGGGCCCCACTTATACAACAGATTAGGTTCCAGGCCACCGCTGCAAAGTGAAAAATCGCTGAAAAGTGAAACATAACCTTTTTTCACTTTCAAATGCATATGAAAGCCTGATAACATATTTACACTATTATGTATTAAGTGAGCAATAGAGCTAGGCCTAAAAAAAATTCATAACCAGTACAGGGCTGAGGAGGGGGTTGTTGAAGTGGTTCAGACATGTAGAGAGGATAGAACAAAATAGAATGACTTCGAGAGTGTATAAATCTGTAATGGAGGGAAGGCGGGGTAGGGGTCGGCCTAGGAAAGGTTAGGGGAGGGGTAAAGTAGGTTTTGTGTGAGAGAGGCTTGGACTTCTAGCAAGCATGCACGAACGTGTTAGATAGGAACAAATGGAGACAAATGGTTTTTACGACTTGACGTGCTGTTGGAGTGTGAGCAAGGTAATACTTATGAAGGGATTCAGGGAAACTGGCAGGTCAGACTTGAGTTCTGGAGATGAGAAGTACAGTGCCTGCACTCTGACGAACGGGTGTTAATGTTGCAGTTTTATTGCTGTAGTGTAAACGCGCCTCTGGCAAGACAGTGATGGAGTGAATGATGATGAAAGTTTTTCTTTTTTGGGCTACCCTACCTTGGTGGGAAAAAGCCAAGAAGTTAAAAAAAAAATTTGCTTAACTCTCGAAATTGTATGATTGCAAACAAACCACAGTACAGGTGGGGTTCGAACTCATGGCAAGTGATTCATAAAACTGCAGGCCAGCACATAAGCCACTGGGCCAGCTGGCATTTGTGGTCACAGTGGGACCATGCTAGCTTCCCTATGGTGTATAAATATACCTAGTTGGATGAATCTTACTCTAGCCAGCTAACCCAGTGCCTTACACACTGGCCTGGAGTTTTTGACTCACTTGCTGCTAGTTCAAGCCCCACCCATACTGTGGTTTACTTAAAATATTTTCATCCTTAGCTTATAGTGAGTGGTGAATATATTTATTGCAGGAAAGTCTGAATAAATGAAAACTGGGTATAACTGAAAACTGCTGCATTGGTGAAATGCTGTAAAGTGAGGCACTGTAAAACAGGGTCCTCTCAAATTTTTTTCAAATTAACCTGGAGGATTAGTAACTAGGATAACCCAATAAAGTTAGGACTTCATTGAGGACTATATCTTATTTCTATTGGAGTGCAAACCCTGTTCTTCAGTGTGAGCTGAATAAGTAAATAATTCATTTAAAGTACTAAACCCATGCGGGTTACTTAGCCCAAAATGTGGTGAAAGCTTGATCCTCCGTCTGCTGAACACGAGGCATATGTGCTTTCTATTTGTGCTCACCTAGTGTATGCCAGTGTGAAATGAGGCTACTACCAACTGAGCCATGAGTAACCCATCAGTATGAGAGCCATGTTACTCCAGCATGATTATTATTTTTGTATCATTATTATATGGTACTGTATTCATAAAAGAAATGTTAAACCCATATGGGTCATACATTATGAGTGCTGTCATCAGAAAAAATACGTGTGAATGCAATGCATGCTGGTATTATGAAACCTTTCCGAGGAAATTTTATATGACTTGAGCACACCCTTGTATTGTTTATGCTATACATAGTGTGACTTTTACGCTAAGGCCTCTTATAAAGTGCATCTATATATTGCGATTTTTAGGAAATGCGACTGAGAAAGTGCATCCAAAACTGAAGAGCAGGTACTGCACTATGAAGACTTTGAAACATGCTTTATTTTGACTGTACTTTTTCAATCACATTTACAGAAAAAATAGCATTATATAGCAAAGCTTCATAAGAGAGCTTACTGTACATAAGATTACTGTAAGCTAGCATAGCAATAACTGGGGTTTGCTCAGTGAGGGCACCAGTATGGATGATTGTTTGCTCAGTGAGGGCACCAGTATGGATGATTGTTTGCTCAATGAGAGCACCAGTGTGAATGGTTGTTTGCTCATTAGATGAACACTGTAATATCAATTTTCCCTTGAATCTATTAAATATTAACTTTACATAGAGGGTTGCAGCATTATTGTTTGGCATGAGATGTGCAAGTGTCAGTGCTCATACCAATATTATTTATTTTAATAGAAGTTAACACTAAACCAACAAGGGTCATATAGCACTAAGGGAACAGGAGGCATTCAAGTTTGACAAAAGAAAAGACTGGAGTACATCCAGTTCCTCAGATCAAGAGCCACATCCTAAGGCATGCTGGTAAGCTCCAGCTTCTGAGACAACTCTGAAGCACCACATGACTTCCAAAAACTCACGTGACAAAGATTGTTGTCAAATTTGTGGAAAAGTACTGAACTTGCCGAGATCATGTACTCTGGGAAATAGGAGGCGAATAAGTTTGTTCTGAGGAAAGGGAGGGAAGCTCTAATCCCCTGGAACAAAATGATTCACTAGCATTGAAACGATGTCCCATGAAGAGAAAGATGATGTAATAAGCCAGTTTCAATTAACAAGTCAAAGAGAGTGAGTTGGTATGGAATGTGGGATTTTCTGAGTTTATAACGAGAAAGCACTAAACCAGTTGGGGTCATGTGGTGCCTATTAAAATGGAGGAATGAAGTTAATCAAGCTTGATTCAAAGAATGGGAGGGTAGCTCCAAATCCTTGGATCAAGAGCCCTTCACTAGTATTAATGTATACAATCAGAAGGGTTAAGAGCTGAAGAGAGAGAGATCTAACGATATTAAATAGTTACCATTTTACATGAGCTGAGGTTTCTTGACGTAAATCTTAAATCTCTGGCAAATTATGATAATGAAGAATAAAAGTCACAATATTTGCCCTAGAAAAGTTGTTAGCCTGCTCTTCTACATTGTTCTGCCGAGAACCACACCTTCTTGCTGCCCATGGACTATGATGGTTCTACAGAAAATTGACCTAAACTTTGATCAACTTACCCAAGCAGATAAATATTACTTTTTCTTAACACACCAGCCATCTTCCACTGAGGCAGAGTGACCCAAAAAGAGGAAGCATTTACTCAGTTTCTGTCTTGCCAGAGGTGTGCTAACATCACAGGCCTCTAAATGGCAACATCCTCACTCCTTCAGTATGCAGGCACTATACTTCCCAGTTTACCAAAGCAGTTTTATATTATTATTATATTATTACTGTATTCATGAGGAAGAGCTAAACTGCAAGACATCATATTGGACTTAGAGGGGTAATCAGATTTGATCCAAGGAAGAGGAAGATAGCTGCAGTTCTTTTGATCAAGAGTCCTTCAGCATTAAGATGTTTTCTTAAAGATTTAATATCATGACAGACGTTGGATCATAAAAATTAATTTGCTTAAAAATTAGTGTTGTATAAAACACACATTCCTGAACAATCTTTCATTGATGCAACTTTCTCTTAGTTAGCTGTATAATACCTACAGGTTTAGCACTCCCCAAATGTAAAAATAATAATAAAAATTTCATACTTTAGATCTCTATCGACAAAAATCTAATATAGTGAGAAAGTGGCCCAATAAGTTTGTTCTAGAAGTGTATCATTAAACAGTGCCTGGGAACATTTTAGAGCTATCTTCACTACCATCCTAGTTAGAGTATTCCACCAATAAAAGAAAAAACAACTGATTCTTAGATTATTGGCAAGTTATTAGGCTCAGTATCTCTTTTTCAGCTTGGTTGGCAAAATGACATTTAGATCCTAAAAGTGTTGGAGTTCAGTTATGTCTTTGTGTTTTAATACAGACACTTCTAATAGTAAAACCATCCAAGTATACTATACTGTACTATCAAAACACACCAAATAGTGGGGGTAGTCATATTCTTACATTATTGGTGTTCAGTTTTCAGCCAGGGACAACAGGTCTCATCAATTTATTAATACTAGTTAAGTTTTTTCTCCAGTGTAATAAAGCTATTCTGAAGACAATATCAGTCCTTCGATATATTTACAATTATCTGTTGCAAGTGGTTGTGTTGTGTAACAAAACTGCATTCTGAAACAAAAACTTCTATAGTCTTTGGAAGTAATATATTTCACAGTTTAGAAACAAACAATAACATATAACAATGTTTCTTTCAAAAATATTTAAAAGTTATGAGCACCACCAGTGGCTTTGCTTTATGCAGTGGATACATTCAAGGGCCATGGCAGCTATAATAATCTCAATTAGGTTAATACCTAAATTTTTCAGTCTAGGAATCTTCATTACTTTTTAGTAAATTGCACTGACTGCACAGTGCAAATTTATACTACACACAGGAAAGTAGTGGAAAAAACTGGGCATTGTTTAGAAGTGAATTCACATGTAGTGAACCCATATAAAGATTGGAATTTCTGGAAGACAATTTGTGACAGCAAATTTTTTTTTTGAGAATATCACTCCATTTAGTAACACCTGATAGTGTGCAGTTGTTGTCTCCTGTGGTGCTGCTGAGGAGGGTAACTTCACTACCCTCCCTCACACATGTACTTCTCATTACCAGGTATTTGTTAAGATCACAGTATTTTCTAATGTACCAGACTGCATTATTAGAGAAAACTAAGAATTTTGGTGCTGTTTCAATGTCACTTTCATTGCTGACATGTACAGGTGCATCATATATGTACATCAATGTAGCTCATCTTTCATTTGCTTTGTGACCTCAGACTGGTAAATCATCTTAATAGATAATTCTGTGTTACTCATATCTTATCAGGATGAACCCAACTAGAAAATACATTATAAAAGGGAAGTGGCAAACCATTCATAACTCTACACCTCTACCACTGAATGTTTTGGTAATTGCCCTGGAAAACTTTAACACAAATTTTTGAAGTGGACTGTCTGTTTGAGAGTTAACATAGACATTCAGGAACACTGGTTTACACTCACTTTCTCTATCAGTTTTAGTGTCTATTGTATATAAAAAAAAATGATTCACCAGCACAAAATCTTAAATTTGCCTATTTTTTTTTTTTCAGCAAATTCCAGTATTTCATAATGCTAGAAAAAATCAGCTATGACTACCTTTGCCCTGAGGTAATTTGTTCCTGCCTATGACTAAGATTGTGTCCTGGGACTTTCTAAAATCTTTCTTTCATATACACATATTTTAATTTGCTAAAGAGGATAACAGCGTTAGACCAAAATACATAGTACTTAAACATAGTTTGTATAATTATCTCCATAGAGATTTGTTGTGGAATTGTAGCTCTAGCCATTTACACAGTACATACATACACACGGTAACTTTAGTTACTAACGCTGAACCAAACAGCAATTATGACATAATGTGTGCTGAATGAAAAGCCGTTTCTTTTAAAACATCACAGTCCTCCAATTGGTTGCCTGAAGAGTCTAGTACAGAATCAAATTTTATTTTTCAATTGTATCTTCTTCGAGAAACTGATGTTGTTGATTGCGTTCCATTTCCAACACACAGCCGTGAAGAATGAAAATTATTGCTCTTGCTATGTTCTTCATTAAACCACTTTGCTGCATCTAATGGATAATCAGGTGCAATATCTATATCCTGTAAGGTTTAAAGAACTTTTGTTACAGAACAAAAATATGGAAAACCATGTGAAAAATAACTTGAATTTTGGATAAAAACAATGAGTATGAAATGAGAACATGCAGAATATAGGCAAAGTAAATAAATATACATATTAAATTCAAAATCTATTTCCAATCAAGGTATTCTATGTATCTGCAACACTTAACACACAAAGCTTCAGTACACCTCATCATGTGCATTTTTTAGCAAATTTTCAGCAAACAGCTCCTTTCTTGGATGTAATTACTGCTTACTTACGTATATTTTTTAAGATAGGAATGAAGTCATATTTTTGTATGAAGAGCACAGATGTAAATAGCAAAATATTTTCTTGTAATCATCAAAATATATTGTTATTAATACTCACATGCAATAGGAGATTAATTAATAGAATTAGACAAAAAAATAATAAACTAGGAGCTAAAGGGGCCAAGTTAATGATCATGATGATATGGATGAATAATTTCTAAAGAGTAATAAGAACACAAGCTCTGTGAGACAAAGATAACACCTCCTTCATATATAACAGGAGGAAAATGAGGCATGAAGTAATGGAACAAAGACAAGCAATATAATCTTAAAAAAAAAATAAAAAAAAAGAAATGAATCATCATACATCAACTGAATTGTAAACAAAAAATCAGTCTCACTTTGGCTGGCCATAGTGTGTCACATATCTTGAGGAGAAGAAACTGTAGCGTTACCAGGAACATCATGAACCAACCTGCCACAATACCACATTTTTTGTACCTGTACAATAATATACAGAGAACCTGCTGAGTAAAACTAAATATGACAACCTGTCATTAACATTAATGTGGGGATAAATTTGAAAGTCATTAAAAAAAAAAAAAAAAAAACCCTACAGGTGACAAAGAGACAGAATGGTATACAGTAGGGCCCCACTTATAGGACAGGTTAGGTTCCAGGCTACTGCTGGAAAGTGGACGTTGCCAGAAAGAAGAACGCCACTTTTTTACACTAAGTGCACATAAATGCCAGACAATAAGTTTATACTAACTTACATTAAGTTAGCATAGAACTAGGCATTAAAAACACACTAAAATGTAAAATACATACATAGTACATTCAATACTTACCTTAAAATATTTGTAGTCTTAATGTAGGGCAAGAGGTGAGTAGTACTTATTTGTAGGAAGTCAGGTGTAGGTAGCCGTGGCTCCCCGTCCCAAACTTAATATACAATATTTAAAGCAGCCCAAAGAGATAAAATACATATACAGTACACTCATTATTTACCTTAAAATATGTGTAGTCTTAATGTAGGATGAGAGGTGAGTAGCATTTATTTGAAGGAAGTCTGTGTAAGAAGCCGGTACATGTAGCCCACCTGTGCTCCCCCCCACCTATATAGCTATACGATATTAAATGTGCCCCAGAGCCATATTATTACCACCAACATACCTTGTTCACTGAGTTTAATCATTTCTAACAACTAACCTTTAGATGCCATCATAAACGAATGGAGAAGTAATGAGAATTCACGCCGAGAATTGGAAACAAAAGCGGAGGGGAGTGACTGGGCCAAACGCCGATTCATACACATTTTCTCTGGTGCTGGAACAGAGAAAACGTAATGTTTTCCCTCTCCCCGGTTATCATACCTAATAATAATAATAATTATCCATGGGGAAGTGGAACAGAATTCTTCCTCCATAAGCCACGCGTGTCATAAAAGGCAACTAAAATGCCAGGGGCAAGAGGCTAGTAACCCCTTCTCCTGTATACATTACTACAGTTAAAAAGAGAAAGTTTCGTTTTTCTTTTTGGTCCACCCTGCCTTGGTGGGAAACAGCTGATTTGTTGAAATAATAATAATAATTATCCATGAGGAAGTGGAACAGAATTCTTCCTCCGTAAGCCATCCATGCCGTAAGAGGCAACTAAAATGCCGGGAGCAAGGAGCTAGTGACCCCTTCTCCTGTATATATTACTAAATTTGAAAGGAGAAACTTTCGTTTTTCCTTTTGGGCCACCCCACCTCGGTGGGATACGGTTGGTATGTTGAAAGAAAGAAGAAGAAAGAATAATAATAATAATAATAATAATAATAATAATATCATATGTATGTGCTATGTAACATGTTTCTTATATAATTTTCAAGAAAATATCATGGATTAATGAAAATGTCTATATTAACGTAAAATAAGACATTTAATGTGCCCAAGAGTGATTACTATTATGTAGTACAGCCTCTTCTCACTTAATGACAGTTCTGTTCCTAAGACCACGTCATTAAACGAATTCGTCACTAAGTGAGGAGCATACTATAATGGTAGTGAGTTTGTATCAACCATCTTTGATATTTTTTTAATGTCACCTTTGCACCATTTATGACATTTCAGGTATTTTTTTAAATGTTTATACAGTAGTGTACTGTATATTGAGATAAACAGAATAGAGGAAATCAGATCTAATATACATTATTTAGATATGAATACTGGTCAGAACCATCATAAGTCCAAGGCGTCAGTAGACGAGTACGTCGCTAAGTGAAGAGAGGCTGCATTACTATGGCAAGACTAGAAGGGCACTCTTAGTGATTTTAATGTGTACCTGCACGCCAGCACAGTGTGTAGTATACGTATTTAGGCACAGGTACAGTAAGGCCCGCTTTACAGAGTTCTGCTAATATGGTCATTTCAAATTATGACCAAAACTCTCTATACGACTCCCCCCATCTGACTTTCTAATACAGTCACCGTGCTCCACCCAGTTTATTTACATTTTCCATGAGCTCCATAAGCACTAAGTCTCTCAATTATGTCTGGAAACTCCAAAATTTCAAGTGTTTTTAAAAGTTATTTCAAATTTTATATATATTTTTTTTTTCAACAAACCGGCCGTATCCCACCAAGGCAGGGTGGCCCAAAAAGAAAAACAAAAGTTTCTCTTTTTGCATTTATTAATATATATAGGAGAAGGGGTTACTAGCCCCTTTCTCCTGGCATTTTAGCCACCTCTGATAACATGCATGGCTCACGGAGGAAGAATTCTGTTCCACTTCCCCATGGAGGTAAGAGGAAATAAACAAGAACAAGAACTAGTAAGAAAATAGAAGAAAACCCAGAGGGGTTGTTGAGGTGGTTTGGTCATTTAGAGAGAATGGATCAAAGTAGAATGACATGGAAAGCATATAAATCTATAGGGGAAGGAAGGCGAGGTAGGGGTCATCCTCGAAAGGGTTGGAGAGAGGGGGTAAAGGTGGTTTTGTGGGCGAGGGGCTTGGACTTCCAGCAAGCGTGTGTGAGCGTGTTAGATAGGAGTGAATGGAGACAAATGGTACTTGGGACCTGACGATCTGTTGGAGTGTGAGCAGGGTAATATTTAGTGAAGGGATTCAGGGAAACCGGTTATTTTCATATAGTCGGACTTGAGTCCTGGAAATGGGAAGTACAATGCCTGCACTTTAAAGGAGGGGTTTGGGATATTGGCAGTTTGGAGGGATATGTTGTGTATCTTTATACGTATATGCTTCTAAACTGTTGTATTCTGAGCACCTCTGCAAAAACAGTGATAATGTGTGAGTGAGGTGAAAGTGTTGAATGATGATGAAAGCATTTTCTTTTTGGGGATTTTCTTTCTTTTTTGGGTCACCCCGCCTCGGTGGGAGACGGCCGACTTGTTGAAAAAAAAAAAAAACATGTATGTGTAGTGTGACCTAAGTGTAAGCAGAAGTAGCAAGATGTACCTGAAACCTTGCATGTTTATGAGACAGAAAAATGGACACCAGCAATCCTACCACCATGTAAAACAATTACAGGCTTTCGTTTTACATTCACTTGGCAGGATGGTAGTACCTCCCTGGGCGGTTGCTGTCTACCAACCTACTACCTAGAATTTTATATATACTCTGATAATTATACTTATGTATACCTGTACCTAAATCAACTTACACACTGTGCTGGCATGCAGATACACATTAACATCAGTAAGAGTGTCTTATGTCTCGAGATGCCATATTAGTAATGATAATAATAATAATTAATAATAATCACTGGGTCTCATTAAATGTCATATATTACGTTAATATACAGGTCTCCCTCAACATTCGCGTTTTCAACTTTCGCGGGCTTCACACATTCGCGAATTCCCAACCGCCAAATTCCCAGCTTCCAAATTCCCAGCCGCCAAATCATATTTATGTTTCCCACCACCTGCGAGTCTCTACTACCCTCCCTCCAACCCCCGCAACTGGCAGCCAGCCCTCCCACCAGTGTGGTGAGTGTTTTGTTTGTTCATTATTTGCTATTAAACTACAGTATAAATAATGTAAACCCATTCATGACTGCATATTGGAATGGCTATTCAGACAGGTATTGGACGGTGACATCATATGTTTACTCTTGAACACAGCAAAGAATCAAACATTTCTGCTACTACTAATAATAACAACAATAATAATAATAATAATAACAATAATAATAATAATAATAATAATAACAATAATTATAATAATAAATGCGATAGAATTGAAGAAGGAAATTGTACAAAAATACGGAGGGAGTGGTTGACACATCATCAGTGTGGCTTTGTTTATGCTGGAGTGAGCATTAGTCTCCATGCTCTTCCAAACATTTCACAATAATTCATTGTGTTTGGTGCTTGTAGATTGAGTGTGACTGGAGTGGTAGAGGCAGTGGGTGAGGCAGCAGTTGAGGCAGTGGGTGAGGCAGTGGTTGAGGAAGCAGTTGAGGCAGTGGGTGAGGCAGTGGGTGAGGCAGTGGGTGAGGCAGTGGGTGAGGCAGTGGGTAAGGCAGTGGGTGAGGCAGTGGGTGAGGCAGTGGGTGAGGCAGTGGGTGAGGCAGTAGGTGAGGCAGTGGTTGAGGCAGTGGTTGAGGCAGTGGGTGAGGCAGTGGGCGAGGCAGCGGTTGAAGCAGTGGGTGAGGCAGTGGTTGAGGAAGCGGTTGAGGCAGTGGGTGAGGCAGTGGGTGAGGCAGTGGTTGAGGCAGCGGTTGAGGCAGTGGGTGAGGCAGTGGTTGAGGCAGTGGGTGAGGCAGTGGGTGAGGCAGCGGTTGAGGCAGTGGGTGAGGCAGTGGTATTTAATAACTGCCTCACCCACTGCCTCAACCACTGCCTCACCCACTGCCTCAACCGCTGCCTCACCCACTGCCTCAACTGCTGCCTCGCCCACTGCCTCATCCACTGCCTCAACCACTGCCTCACCCACTGCCTCAACTGCTTCCTCAACCACTGCCTCACCCACTGCCTCAACTGCTGCCTCACCCACTGCCTCTACCACTCCAGTCACACTCAATCTACAAGCACCAAACACAATGAATTATTGTGAAATGTTTGGAAGAGCATGGAGACTAATGCTCACTCCAGCATAAACAAAGCCACACTGATGATGTGTCAACCACTCCCTCGTATTTTTGTACAATTTCCTTCTTCAATTCTATCTTATTTATTATTATTATTATTATTACTATTGTTATTATTAGCAGTAGCAGAAATATTTGATTCTTTGCTGTGTTCAAGAGTAAACATATGATGTCACCGTCTAATACCTGTCCGAATAACCATTCCAATATGCAGTCAGGAATGGGTTTACATTATTTATATTGTAGTTTAATAGCAAATAATGAACAAACAAAACACTCGCCACACTGGTGGGAGGGCTGGCTGGGAAGTTGCTGGGGTTGGAGGGAGGGTAGTAGGGACTCGTAGTGGTTGAGGAAGTGGTGGAGGCAGTGGTATTTAATAACGTACATGTTATTAAACCATAACATGTATGTATTTAGTACAATTTATGACGTTTTCCATGTATTTTATGATTGTTCATGGTTCAACAAGTTAAGGAAGCAGTATTGTATTATATTTCCCTATAATATTTTGGGGCACCAAACATTCACGATTTTTCGACATTCGCGAGGCTCTTGATCCCCTAACCCTCGCGAATGTTGAGGGAGACCTGTACACATTTTCAATAATCCATCTATGATATTTTTTTCAAAATTATATAGTAAACACGATATATAACATATAAAGATGATAAATACACCCCACAGTAGAATAAATAAACATAAATATGAGATATGGTAGCCAAATGATTTGTATGAGTGATGCTATATCAGTAATGATAATGATAATCACCAACTCTCATTAAATGTTGTATATTACATTAATGTGCACATTTTCATTAATCCATGATATTTTTTTCAAAATTATGTAAAAAACACAATACATAACATATACAGATGAGAAATACACCCCACAGTACAATAAATAAACATAAATATGAGATGTGATAGCCAGACAACTTGTACGAGTGATGGCAAGAATAACGTTTTCTCTAGTCCAACATAAGAGAAAATGTGTTACTGGGTGTAACTGCAGAAAATTATTCCTTTCATATGCCTTCACTCAAAGCATCATTTCTTCTAAAAATGGTGTTACATGAGAATGGGAGTGTTCCTCTTTATTTATTCTACTGTATCAACGTAGAGACGACTTGTACACAATGTAACTTGTATGCAGCAAACCAGACGTGTTCACCTGGCTTGCTTACAAAACTCACGTATGCCTGGTTTGTTTACATAACTCCGCAAGTGTCCTCTCTCACGTACTCATTCTCTCTCTCTCTCTCTCATTTACTCGTTTTATCTTGTTTACTCACCTCTGACCCTACATTAAGACTACAAATATTTTAAGGTAAGTAATGAGTGAACTGCATATGCATTTTATTGCTCTGGGATGCTTAAATGTCATAGAATATTGTGTGTGGGTGGGCTGGCCTGGTATGGAGCCTGGCTGGCTACCATACATACCACACCTGATTTCTTACAATAAATAAATTACCCTAGATTAAGACTACAAATATTTTAAGGTAAGTAATGAGTGTACTACATGAAAATAAATGGTATAAAATACCGACACAATGGAAACATAAACACATATGCAGTTTAATGTGATCCTTTATTGACAATGTTTCGCCCAAGTTTTAGACTCTATAACCCCACCCGGTAGCTCATCAGATGCAGCATTCTCCACCTGACCTCAACATTCTGAACTTGACTATAAATACTCACGTACCTTCCACCCCAGGTAGATCTGTTTGTGACTTGAAAAAGCCCACTGTGTGGGCGAAACGTTGTCAATAAAGGATCACATTAAACTGCATATGTGTTTATGTTTCCAGTGTACTACATGTGTATTTTACTTTTTTATTGTTTTTTAATGCCTAGTTCTATTGCTAACTTAATATATGTTAGTGTAAACTTGTTATCTAGTATTTATATGCATTTATAAGTGGAAAAAAAAGGGTGTTCCACTTTATGGCAGTAGCCTGGAACCTAACCTGTCGTATAGTGGGGCCCTACTGTACACACAAGTATAATTATCAGAGTACATATAAAATATTGTAGGTAGTAGGTTGGTAGACAGCAACCACCCAGGGAGGTACTACCATCCTGCCAAGTGAGTGTAAAACTGAAGCCTGTAATTGTTTTACACGATGGTAATATTGCTGGTGTCTTTTTTTATCTGTCTCATACACATGCAAGATTTCAGGTATGTCTTGCTACTTCTACTTACACTTAGGTCACACTACACATACATGTACAAGCATATATATACACACCCCTTTGGGTTTTCTTCTATTTTCTTTCTAGTTCTTGTTCTTGTTTATTTCCTCTTACCTCCATGGGGAAGTGGAACAGAATTCTTCCTCCGTAAGCCATGCGTGTTGTAAGAGGCGACTAAAATGCCAGGAGCAAGGAGCTAGTAACCTCTTCTCCTGTATATATTACTAAATGTAAAAGGAGAAACTTTCGTTTTTCCTTTTGGGCCACCCCGCCTCGGTGGGATACGGCCGGTGTGTTGAAAGAAAGAAGAAGTAATGAGTGTACTACATGAAAATAAATGGTATAAAATACCGACACAATGGAAACATAAACACATATGCAGTTTAATGTGATCCTTTATTGACAACGTTTCGCCCACACAGTGGGCTTTTTCAAGTCACAAACAGATCTACCTGGGGTGGAAGGTACGTGAGTATTTATAGTCAAGTTCAGAATGTTGAGGTCAGGTGGAGAATGCTGCATCTGATGATCTACCGGGTGGGGTTATAGAGTCTAAAACTTGGGCGAAACATTGTCAATAAAGGATCACATTAAACTGCATATGTGTTTATGTTTCCAGTGTACTACATGTGTATTTTACTTTTTTATTGTTTTTTAATACCTAGTTCTATTGCTAACTTAATATATGTTAGTGTAAACTTGTTATCTAGTATTTATATGCATTTATAAGTGGAAAAAAAAAAAGGGTGTTCCACTTTATGGCAGTAGCCTGGAACCTAACCTGTCGTATAGTGGGGCCCTACTGTACACACAAGTATAATTATCAGAGTACATATTAAATATTGTAGGTAGTAGGTTGGTAGACAGCAACCACCCAGGGAGGTACTACCATCCTGCCAAGTGAGTGTAAAATGAAAGCCTGTAATTGTTTTACATGATGGTAGGATTGCTGGTGTCTTTTTTCTGTCTCATAAACATGCAAGATTTCAGGTACGTCTTGCTACATCTACTTACACTTAGGTCACACTACACATACATGTACAAGCGTATATATAGACACCCCTTCTGGGTTTTCTTCTATTTTCTTTCTAGTTCTTGTTCTTGTTTATTTCCTCTTAATTCCATGGGAAAGTGGAACAGAATTCTTCCTCTGTAAGCCATGCGTGTTGTAAGAGGTGACTAAAATGCCAGGAGCAAGGGCCTAGTAACCCCTTCTCCTGTATAAATTACTAAATTTAAAAAGAGAAACTTTCGTTTTTCTTTTTGGGCCACCCTGCCTTGGTGGGATGTGGCCGGTTTGTTGGAAAAAAAAAACATATAAAATATGCAATAACTTTAAAACACTTGAAATTCTGGAAAGTTTCCAGACATAATAGAGATGTGCACATGGAGAATGTAAACAAACTGGGTTGGGCGTGCCTTATTAGATAGACAGGGAGCCGTATAGCAAGTTTTGGTCATAATTTGAAATCGCTGTATTAGGAGACTGCCATAAGGTGAAATGCCATAAAGCGGGACCCTACTGTACATTTAAACTCTAATCTAAAGTGTGATCTAGGTGAATACAAATAGGAAGCGTGTCTGTCTTGGGCTCAGAAGACAAAGGATCAGGTCTCAACCATATGTCTTATGCTGAATGACCCACATGGGTCTAGCACTTAACATGAATTATTATCATCATCATCATCATCTAAAATACTTGAGCTTGAGGAATTATCATTTACTCTGGTCCTATGAATAGCTTTCAACTAAGCCTCTTCCATCCTACTTCATAAATCTTGCAACATCATATTTTTTTCAAGACTAGAAAATTGGTCAGAGAAACCAAAAAATGTTGCAATAAATAAAAGAAATATTCTCCATAGGAAAGTGAAACAGAATTCTTCCTCCGTAAGCCATGCGTGTTGTAAGAGGCAACTAAAATGTAGAGAGCAAGGGGCTAGTAACCCCTTCTCCTATATACATTACTAATGTTAAACAGAGAAACTTTTGTTTTTCTTTTTGGGCCACCCTGCCTTGGTGAGATACGGCTGGTTTATTGAAAAAAACAAAAAAATATGATCATAACAATGATGTACATTTTAAAGAAACTATGACTTATTTACTAAAAACTAAACTTCATTGTTTATAAATTGAATACTGTGCATAAATGATGACCATATTAACTGTGGTATATGACATTATTAAATATCACAGAGCAGAATAGAGCCAGCAGTGATTTTGGTGCATAAAGAGAGGATACTTATGACATATTAACTGAGGTGAGGCAAGATAAATATTCACTAAATATTTTGCATAAGGAAAATTTTATATTTCACAAACTACAAGCAATGAAAAGATTTAATTTTATCAGTAGACAGTACTCATTAGGCTTATTAATATACTCATGACCAAAATTTGCAAAATGCAGCAGTAAATTAAGAATACCTTGGTATACGTTGAAAGAGATCAGCACTCGACTCTTCCTGATGAACTCTGTTATATACGACTTCTGTCCTCTGTACTACATCTGACCACAGATATATATTTTTCATCTCACTGTGCATTACCCACGGATCAAGTCGTTTCCCATTTATCTCCATTTCAATGGCCAATTCCAGTTTCTGAGTCAGGCCTACAATTAGTAAGAATTATATCTGCAAGTTAATTTAAGCATAAGAAATATTGGATAACAAAGGGAATTGAGTAGACATTAGCAAGGAACAGAGACAGCACCAAGGGGGAGACAAAAAAATCCATTATCCCCCAATACCCCCTAAATAAATTAATTAAAAAACTGCAATAAGACAAGTCTCCTCAGCCTCTCTTCCAACCAGATTGCAACCCCTAATTCTGAGAGAAGCCTCACTTCTTTTAATTTATTTTCAATAAATTCCATAAAATTTTAAATAGTAATCATCTGTTTCTACCTGTCTAAAAAAATCAAACCAAACATGGTGAAATTCATGCTGTGACAATTATATACATATACATTTATGAAGGAATTCAAAGAAACTGGTTAACTAAACTTGAGTCTTGGAGGTGGAAAGGACAGTGTCTGCACTCTGAAACAGGGGTGAGGATGCTACAGTTTGGAGGACCATGTGAACTGTGATTCTCAACACACTTCTGGCAAGACTGTGACTGAATGAATGATGATGAATGTATTTCCTATTTTCCTGTTTTGGGTCACCCTACCTCAGTGGGAAATGGCCAATGTTAAAAAAATACTACAAGTTTTACTCACTTTGCACAGTTGGATGAGCAAGAAGAATAAGGTGAGATGGCAGAACCTCTGGGATGCCACCAACATTTGTACTCACAACTTGCAACCTATTAGATGTAAACAACAATCTAAGTCTTTCGTATGAAAAAAATCAATATTTAACCTGAAAATACTCACCAGATACAATAAATGAAACAAAAAGAAAAGTTAGTAATATTTTGTAGTTTTATGAGCTTATTTGTAAAATGCACCATTTATTCTTAAAATCAAAACTAAATATACTATTGTATATGACATGTCATTCATGTAGAGTGGTAAACAGATGCTTAGTCAAGGATAAAACATGTTTATTAGAATTAGCAGTGGTTTTAAAAGATACTTTATAGTGGAAAATCTGAATTAGTTTAGCGATTCTAAAAACACATAAAATCACAATACCAAGTACACCAATAGGATTAGAAAACTAGCAGTAAAATAACAAACTTGAAAAATATTCACATCATTATCTCATTATTGAACAAATAAAAACAATTACTAACCCTGAGCAAACAGCTTCACAGATAGCTATACAGAAAGCTTCAGTAAGTGAAGTATTCAAAAAGATGTGTCCCTTGACAAGTACACCATGAACTTCAGCATGAGGTACGGCCCCAAGGAATTTAAGTCGTTCATTTCCCACTTCATCTTGAACTTCTTCGAGAATACTCTTTTTTGGTCCATCACCTCCAATTATGAAATTTACCTGGTCAAAATACAATAATCCTGATGTGACACATAAAATATTGTAATGAATATTCTTATCACATTTGCACAGAAACTCCTCTGAGTATGTCAGTGCTGTAAACAGCACTGGAGTGTGTCTTGTTCTAGTGGCTTTCCTTTGTTCCTAACAATATTTTATTACATATAAGCTACATTATCTCTGTACTGCATAAAAGAAATAAAGAAGCTGAATATGAATTTGAATAATCTTCATATCATTAGCACTTCATGACTCAAAACAAATTCTTTACCTGCTTCCACCGTAAAAATTTATGTGGAAGAATAATGAATCCAAATGTACACTAAAGAGAAAAGCAAGAAAAGAGGAAAAGTGATAAAAAAATGAGAAATGAAAATGCAGCATATTTCTTCAATTTGGAGAGCAAATGACAGAACAAATTTGAAGATGACCTCCAGATCAAATAGTGTACATAATTTTCAACAACAGTGGTTTCCAACGAAGGCAGCATGACCCAAATAAATAAACATTCACCATCCCTCATCCTACAGCTGTCCTACCAAAAGTGGAAGGACATCACAATTTGAATGATCCACCAAACTGCAACATCTTCATGCATTCTTCAGTAATATATATAGAGTAGACCGTTATATTACACGGTAGCTACGTTCCTGAAAATGCCATGTTAGGTAGATCCGTGTTAGATGAACTGAAGAGCTTATGGGAAAAATAGGGTTACATTCCTGGGAGCCCCAAAAAACCCAAACAACTCTTTTTTAGACCTCTAGATCTTACAAAAATAAAAGTGAATATGCAATTATAGTTCACTGTTGTTTTAAAAAGAGAAACTTTCGCTTTTCTTTTTGGGCCACCCTGCCTTGGTGGGATACGGCCGATTTGTTGAAAAAAACAAAAAAAAGTTCACTGTTGTGATGTATTATGTTGTTTTTACTGCTTAAGACTACAAATGCAATAGAAAGAATAGTATTTCTTACCTTAAATTGTGGGTGCTGGTGTTTGTGGATGATTGTGAAGAGTGTGGAGAGTTATGCTGTGGCCCTACTGGGCTGAGGTGGATGGTAGAGGTTCTGGTACTGAAGTCGATGGTGGTACTGGAGTGTGCATAAATTCTGTAATGGATTTCAGTTCTATTTTACCCTGCAGTACATTATACAACTGATGGTAGGGCATCAGCTGCTCTAGACACCGTTTCAGGGTCCTTTTCAGTGAAAAAATCCAACTTTAAGTCAGTCAATTCAGTCAGTAAATCAGTCAAGTCAGTTAGTAAATCAATCAAGTCAGTCAGTCAGTAAATCAGTCAGTCAGTTATTCTTCACACAAATTTATATATTTACCTCATTCTTTTTAATTGCACAGTGATGCTTCATTATGGCCACAGGCTATCTCTTGTCTAATATCTCTATTTTCTTCAATAACTTTAAGACTTAAATGCAACACTGGTATGCCTACTCGGTGCCATGATTGCTTGGCAGATACATGATATGGTAATTAAAAGATCAAAACACAATTCACAAACACAGCTAGCTCCTAAGACAGAATGGGACTGAACACATATTCACAAAGGCTGGGATGGTAGTGGCGGGAGTGTCGGGGGTGGCAGGGTATGGTGGGAGGTCTCCTTCACTGACCCACAACAAGGCAGCAGCTTGAGCTGGGGAAATTTTTTCTGCGCCCACAAATGGAACCATGAAAGGTTAATTTTACAAAGTGTTCTATGAAATTGTGCCGCAATTTTTCAATAGTGCACTGACCAAAACGTGGCAAATAAATCCGTGTAATATAATGGTCTACTGTACTACAATATGTCTTAATCTCAATTATACAGTGTTCTAACAATTTCTGGATACCTAATAAATAATAAAAGACTGCTCTTAGAACCTTGCCCAAACACTAGCAGTATTAGTTGGCAAATGATGGTATGCTTCTTCTGAGTTCTTCAATTTAATTTAAACTGGCTATGTGTTACTGAGATGTACTTTAACAAGCGCATGATAATTGCTTAAATGGGTGACTTGCAGAAAGTCATTCAGAAAAGAGAACACACCAACCTGAGGGTACCGATGACATATGTGCCTTATTACTGCTGGTTGCAGATCCACTCCCTTCCTGTACTGCAAACGACTCATCACGATGACATTGACTGAAAACACGAGGGGCCATTACTCAATTAAAATTTCTATTTGTCTATGTAGGATTTTTGATGCACAAAGCCTGTTCTTTAGAAATAGGAAATGATCCAACATTAGCTAATCACACAATAAATACGATTATCTGTAAAACTATGCGAAAGCTAATTAAATAAATGTAACTATTAACTACCTAGGTAGTAGGATGGTAGACAGCAGTCACTCAGGGAGCTACTACCGTTCTGCCAAGTAAGTGTAAAACGGAAGCCTGTAGTTGTACGTGATGGTAGGATTGGTGGTGTCTTTTATGACTTATAACATACAAGATTTCAGGTACATCTTGCTACACTTACACTTAGGTCACACTACACATGCATGTACAAGCATATATGGCCTCTTCTCACTTAACGACAGAGTTCCGTTCCTAATACCCCGTCGATAATCGAATTCGTCACTAAACAAGGAGCATACTATAATGATAGTGGGTTTATGTCAACCATCTTTGATATTGCTTTAATGTCACCCTTGCACCATTTATAATATTTTTAGTATATTTTTAACCCTTTGACTGCCGCAACCCCAAATCCTGAAGTGTCTCCTGATGTCGAAAAATTTTTGGAAAAAAAAAAAAAAATTATTTTTCTTATGAAATGATAGAGAATCTTTTCCTGGTGGTAATGACACCAAAAGTGCGAAATTTGATTGAAAACTTAGGGAATTACGCTCCCACGAAGTCAGTGATCTTGGCGATATATATGCATTGGCGATTTTGCCGACTTTGAACCCTATTTTCGGCCAATTCCATTCTTCCAGTCGACCAAACTCATAGCTATTTCTTTAGAGCTCCATCTTTTCTATCAATTGAGTACAAGAAACCACCCATTTACCAATTTCAACTACCCAATAAAGTGGTCAGAAATTAGCAATTTGGCCAATTTCATGCAAATTAAAAAAGATGCCAATTTCAAAATAGGGTCCAGAATAAACAATGCAAACATTCTTGGCACTAAAATAACATATCCTCTATTCATTAGTCACGTCTCCAGGCCCCTCCTATATTACCCTTGCTTTCTATTTTGATTTTTTATTCATACAAAAAATAGAAGATTTAGTGTTATGCAGACTACTGCATTATTGTAAAAATGGTATAAATAATATCAGTGCACTAGTGAAAGAATATCAGACTCCCCAGTTGACGTGTATTGGACGTGTGGTGTGATTTGCTTACTCTTGAACATTGGTAAAAATCAAACATTTCCGCTACTTTGAGCTCAATTTCAAGGTCGTTTTCATCGAGAAATTAATCAAAATCATCTCTATTTTTGTAATATGTTTTCCATTCTATCAAATGAGACCAAGAGAACGAGAATACAACCATAAATACTATACGAAAATAGACCTCAAAGTTGGCGTTTTTTTCTCTCATTATGCACTGCATGCTGTAGGATTTTTTTATAAAGTGCACACTGACCACACAAACCCATTTTCTCACATGTGGACCTATCAGCTTTCTCCTGCTTGATTTGAAGCCACTAGAATTATTGAGTATATATACGTCCTAAACACTGGCTCGTAAGACGTATGTATATATGGCCAAAACAGTCAAAGGGTTAAATGTTTATACAGTAGTGTACAGTATACTGTAATAAACAGGATAGAGGAAATCAGCTCTAATATACATTATTTAGGTATGCACACTGGTCAGAGAGCACGTCGTAAGTCCGAGTCTGTAAACGAGTATGTCGCTAAGTGAGGAGAGGCTGTATATACACACACACCCCTCTGGGATTTCTTACTACAAGTTGGCCATCACTAATCTGGCAATCAGTTATCCGGTTCCATCAGTAATCCGGCACTAATTTCAGCTAGCATAATTTCAAATTTCATCATTATACTGACTCAAATTCCATCATTATACTGACTCAGATATAAGAACATAAGAACGAAGGAACACTGCAGAAGGCCTACTGGCCCATGCGAGGCAGGTCCAAGTCTCCTACCGGCTTAAGCCAATGCACCCAACCTAGTCAGGTCAGGTCACATTGACTTAAGGGAGGAACACGGCAACCGACCTGGTAGCACAAGCTATCAGGTCTAACTCACACCCACCCACATCCACTCATGTATTTATCCAACCTATTTTTAAAGCTACACAACGTTCTGGCCTCTATAACGGTACTTGGGAGTTTGTTGTAAATCCACAGCAGCAAGCCAGTGGAGGAGAAAGCAGTAATGAAAATAAGGAAGATGTAGCAGAAAGAGTCTCTACTGATAGGTTAATTAAGTGTATTCTAACCTAACCACTCTGTAATCTGGCAAACTTACTAAACCGGCACACTACAGGTCCCAATGATGCTGGATTAGTGATGGCCAACCTGTAGTTTGTGTTCCTATTTCCTTTTATCTCCATGGGGAAGTGGAACAATTCTTCCTCCGTAAGCTATGTGTATTGTAAGAGGCAACTAAAATGCCAGGAGCAAGGGGCTAGTAATCCCTTCTCCTGTATATGTTACTACAGTTATGAAGAGAAAGTTTTCTTTTTCTTTTTGGGCCACCCTGCTTTGGTGGGATATGGCTGGTTTATTGAAAGAAGAACTATTAACTAAAAAAATCTGCCTTGAACAATAAGCATTTTGTCAGATAAATTTACCTGCACTGTAAGTCACTATTCATATACATGTACTATGTTATAGGCAAAGAGCAACTGTGACAGCAGATCCCACTTTATAATAGATTCATTATCTTTCAAGCTAGCACCTCTTCTGAGCTCCAGCATTTACCTCTTCATCAGCTCAAATCTTGAAACACATTTAGCAACTAAAGAAACAACACACAACTACGTACTTTATTTTTAAGATTTAATTAAAATCATTCTTGGTGCATATTCCCAGCACTAAAAATCTAAAAAATAATGATAATAAATTTTATTTTTTACAATAAAAGTCCCTTACTTTTGTCCTTTGGTCTTTGTGATGGATCAGGCTTAAAAATGTGCGAATCCAGGGCATTAGGTATGACTGATACTTTCTCTTGATCTACGTTAGCTCTCAGAACAGTGTTTTCTTTCCTGTGTGAATTGTTTTAAAATTGATAACAGAAGTTGAACAGATAAACCTCATATAAATGTCCTAAAAATAACCTAGTTTTATTAGAACATTTTTATAGAACTATATTTTTGTAGGACACTTTAACATTTGTAGTCCTTTATCATTCAGGAACAACAAATTTTTTTTTTGGAAAGTGACTCATTTGTGAAGTAAGCAAAAGTCAGTAACTTTTAATTGCAAATGACAAATAAATAAAGCAACAATACAATGAAGATATTACTATGCATCCTCATTTGTGTAAGAAATTTTTAAAAAAATATCCCAGAAGGTGACACGATCGGTGAAGTTCTAATGCCTAACAAATACTGAATTATACAATTCACATGAAGTTAAGAACAGAAATAATGAGTGTAATTTCTCACCCTACATATGACACACAAATGCAGTGATTAACATCAGCCAGAGAAAGTGCAAGGAAGTTGTTGGTCACAATGGCAGACATGTCGGCAAAGCCAAAAAGTGAATGATCCGTAAACACACTCTGCAAGAGTTAAGAGTTTGATATGAATTTATTTTTGACCCACCAGCCATCTCCCACTGAGGTAGGGTGACCCCAAAGAAAAGAAGAAATACACTCACTGTCACTCATTCATTCATAGTCTTGTAAGGTGTTTGCTGTTCACAGGTCAGATGGCCTTCTGAACTGTGATATTCTCATCCCTCCCAGAGTGCAGGTACTGTATTTCCCACCACCAGGATTCAAGTTGGATAACTGGTTTCCCTGAATCCTTTCATAAATGCCTCCTTGCTCACACTCCACTAGCACAAGTCACAAAAACCATTTGCCTCTGCTATCTAATGGGTTCACACAAGCCTGTTGTTAATAATTTGTCAGGGGAACTCCCATGATGACACACACTGTGGTTCAGATTAATATGAAGTATAAAGGCCAAATAATTAATAACTTTAATATACAAGAGCAAAGTAAATTACATATGAACATATAAAGGAGACACAGGAAAATACAGCCTTGCCTCACTTAATGACGGAGTTCCATTCCTAAGATCATGTCAGTAAATGAATTCATCGCTAAGTGAGGGGCATACTATAATGATAGTGGGTGTGTGTGTCAACCATCTTTGATATTGTTTTAATGTCACCTTTGCATCATTTATAACATTTCTGGTATACAGTGGAACCTTGGTACTCGAACAGTTCCGTAATCAAACAATTCGGCATTTGAACATTTTGTTCCGGTAAACAAATCGCTCAGTAGTCGACCGTTTGCTCAGCACTTGACCAAACAAATACAACCTGCCAGAACTTCGCTGTAAACTATTTCGTGTTTCTTCACATTTTTTGGTGTTTCTTTTATATTATTTGTATAAATAAGTCACCATGGGGCTTAAGAGGGTTAGTGATAACAGCCAGCCAAAAAGAAAACTGGCTGAAAAAAATTTGTTCTGTACTCGAACAGATCGGCACTCAAACAGCCTTCTGGAACCAATTAAGTTCAAGCGCTGAGGTTCCACTGTATTTTTAAATGTTTATACAGTTGTGTACTGTATTTTGTAGTAAACAGAATAGAGGAAATCAGCTCTATTATACATTATTTAGTTATGCATATTGGTCAGAGAGCCTGTCGTAAGTCTGAGCTGTCGGTAAATGAGTACGCTGATAAGTGAGGAGAGGCTGTATTGTATTTGATTTACCTGTTTCATATAAAAATGTGATAACATAGGTGAATTTCATGTATATTATCCTCTTACATACAGTATAACACAAGATTCAATATGTCTCACATCAGTAACAGTGACTATATCTTTTTCACCTCAAAAATACAGTATTCAGATGTGCCTTTAACAAAAAATCTCCAAATGTACATTTCTTAAGGCATTCTGTGATCTTGAAATGCAGTCATGACAAAATATTTGCTCACTCTATTACTATTTAACTGGTCATCTTATTCCTTCATACTCACATTCAGTCTCTCTCTTTTCCTTAATTTAAGGCACAGTAATTATTTTGTGCATCTGATCGCCTGAGTTATTTTTATTTACTTTTTGTTTTTTTTAAGACAGTAATAAGTGCATGAGTCTACATACCAAACATGATCTCTTCCTCATTTAAAATATGTCAATCCTTTTACTAGTATAATAAAATTTATGCCTGAAAATGCAACATTAGGTAAAAATAATAACAGACTTGTGCAAGTGTGTTAGAAGTCAGAGGAGGCAAGTGGTTTTCATGATTTGACAGTACTGTTGTAAATCTATACGCTCTTGCACTACCATCCACAGGATAACTATAGGGTGCACAATAAACTAGACACCTTGGTAGCAAAATCTAATTTGGTGGAGTGTAAGGAAAGTAACATTTATGAAGAGATTCAGGGAAACTGGTTAGTCAGACTTGAGTCTTGGAGGTGGGAACAACTGTGCCTGCACTCTGATGGAAGGGTGGGGATGGTGCAGTTCAGAGGGTCATCTGAGCTGTGATGTCAGTATCCTTCTGGGAAGACAGTGACTGAATGGAGGGAGAGTGAGAGTGTTTCTTCTTTTCTTGAGTAATCATACCTCAGGGGAGATGGCCAGCGCATTAAAAAATAAATAAAAAATAATAATACAAAAATAATTTCAATAATAATAACAACAATAATAATAATAATAATAATAATAATAATAATAATAATAATAATAATAATAATAATAATAAAAGAAATGCACGTACCTTAAGTCCCATGGCCCTTGCCAGATTCATAGCTTCATGTGCCATGGTTGAAAAGGCTGAAGTGACCGTGAACTATGGTGACCCTCTCACGCAAAAAAATATTGCGTAAAAGTGGGATAGATGTGATGAAGGTGGGAAGAACTGACTGGCTGTAAAATGTCTGCATTGGGAGGTAGTATACCTGGAATTAAAGATAATGCTTTGAAATTTCTTATAGCAAGGTTAAATGATCCTACATATTTAATGACTATTTCTTAATTGTAAAGTCAAATTTTACCCAAGCATTTCTGTCATGAGTTACAGTATAAAAGACATTTATTCCAATGCAAATTTTGGCTTCGTCTGTTATGAATCCTTCAGTTTAAATATGAATGCCATTTACATTTTTTCCTTATGAGCCCTATGGCATTCTGGTCAAGTCATACTGCCACCCCCTCACTCAATAATAGTGAGCAATTTCTAACCTCATGATAGAGTACGGTAATAGAATAAAGACTATGTATAATTTGAAGGCAAAAAAAAGACCAACTTCTCTAGCATCCTTCTGAAAGTGATACTATTATGACTGTTGACCAGCATGAAACATCACAGGGTTTGTCAGCAATGTTTACGATGATGTCATAAGCAAAATGTGCCTCTTTTTTGAACTATACTCATAAAACAAGCCAGGCAATGTCACAAAGAATCCTGACTATACTCACTGCTGACTTCACAAGCTCAATGCCAGTGAAGTATTTATCAAATAAAAGTATCCAGCATAAACCATCTACAGCTCATGGCACTGATAAACAATGTCAGAATGAATTTCCTCATTTTGTCAAAGAACAGGATTTAACTTCCAAACTTCCAAGCAAATTTATAATTATCACAGACAAGATATGATTACTCTGGAGAGGAACTGTACAACATTTTCGAGTGAAAGATATCAAGAAGAGGTTAACAAACTACAGTACTTTCCACTGTTTAGTCTCAAGGCCTTACCACAGCCTAATTTCTGAAACATTTTGAGTGTGAAACTGAAAACAATGCAAGAAAACCTAACTCCCTGAAGACTCCAAGATTCTGGTGCCACTTTTCAACTGTTTAGCTATTTTTTACTTCTAAACTTCCCATAGACTTGGAATTTTATGGCATTATTTACTTTTGGGATGAAGACGTCATGGAGTGGCAACCTGTCATTAGTGTCTTTCCAAGAATGAACTGGATTGCCAGTTAGCATCCCACCTGATAATTCTGGAGATGCTACACCATCCTTCACACTTCATCCAAGAGTGGTGATTAACATACAGTGCACTGGCTAGACCTCACATACATTAAACACCATAATTTAGAGCACCAATATGTTTGTAACACCTCCAAAATCAACAATTGATGAATAATTCATCAGGATAGATATTCACACCTTTTCACATGACAAAATGCCAAACTTGTCATCAAAGAAATAGCTGGAGCCAGATGCATAGAAACTGGTCTTTAATTAGTACACAGAATACCACTGAACAAAACCAAACTGCATTTAGCTTAGCTAGATCACTGGCTCACATCATACTACAGGAACATTCTTGGCAGTAAGGTTACACAGATTAAGATAAGATTTGTTTGGAGTTTTAACCTGGAGGTTTGTCACCCGAGATAACCCAAGAGAGTCAGTGAATCTTCGAGGACTGCCTGTCTTATTTCCATTAGGGTCCTTCAATCTTGTCCCCCAGGATGCAACCCATACCAGTCAACTAACACCCAGGTACCTATATGCTGCTAGGTGAACAGGGACAACAGATGTAAGGAAACATGCCCAGTGTTTCTACTCGGCTGGGGACTGAACCACAGACACTCAGTATGTGAAACGAGATCATTGCTCAATAGACCTCTTGCAGTGCTCTGCTGGCCCAAGATTCATCATGCTCCAATGATTTCACGTATATGAGTATATATATCCTAGGTAGTAGGCTGGTAGACAGCAACCGCCCAGGAGGTACTACCGTCCTGCCAAGTGAGTGTAAAACGAAAGCCTGTAATTGTTTTACATGATGGTAGGATTGCTGGTGTCTTTTGTCTGTCTCATAAACATGCAAGTTTTCCAGGTATGTCTTGCTACTTCTACTTACACTTAGGTCACACTACACATACATGTACAAGCATATATATACACACACCCCTCTGGGTTTTCTTCTATTTTCTTTCTAGTTCTTGTTCTTGTTTATTTCCTCTTATCTCCATGGGGAAGTGGAACAGAATTCTTCCTCCGCAAGCCATGCGTGTTGTAAGATGCAACTAAAATGCCGGGAGCAAGGGGCTAGTAACCCCTTCTCATGTATATATAGCATTACTAAATGTAAAGGGAGAAACTTTCGTTTTTCCTTTTGGGCCACCCTGCCTCGGTGGGATATGGCCGGTGTGTTGAAAGAAAGAAAAGAGTATATATATGTGTGTGCACTTTTCATCTTCTGTATGACTTGATAAGTCTTAACAGACTAAAACAGTATCCCAATAAAAACAAGTTCTGCGGAGTATATTTTTTCTTCAGTATTACTCTTAATTCTTATGCATTTAGGGCCGCATGAATGCCTGGTGTCAGCCAAAACTAAAAAGTACAAAAAAAGAAATCTTAATATTAATTATTATTGTGTTACACAGCAACCCTGAATATATCAATAAAACACACCAAGGAATAAAAACAAGACTATTACCTTGAGTCCATTGGTCATGTAACGAATTCCTCTCCTATCCCCATATATGTGTGTGACAACAATGACCTTGTGTCCACGACGAAGAAGACACTGTGAAAGCTGAAAGAGATGCTCCTCAACTCCTCCAACATTTGGGTAGAAGAAATCGGACACCATGCTGAGGAGTAATGTACAGTGGTAAAAATTAGAACTATCATTATATTCATTGAGAAATGGTAATTCCTTCGGGGTCACACAGTGTCTAGGGAATTGGAGGTAACCAGATTGATCCAAGGAAGGGGAGGGAATGTCCAATTCCTTTGATCAAGAGCAATTCAACATAAACGTGGCCCACATTAATCAAAATACAACTATAAATGAAAAAGAAAAACAGATTTAATAGCATAATACATATATACTGCATAACACTGGAGATGATATTAATGAATTCTGCATAACTTAAAGTTAGGGATAGTATAAATCAAATATATTATGGAAATATTAATGTAAAAAATACATTAGTGATTATATAACTAGTAACAAGTTCTTTTCATCAAAATCCTTCAATATTTTTCAATATTTTAGAAAGTGTGTGGAACTAAATTCTATTTTTACCATATGTTCCTTATGTTAGTTAACACTACATAAGATTAAATGATGAATTTCAGGAACACAACCCACATTGTAACTGATGGTCCACTGTATTTATTTATATCCACATAACCCTGAATATAATGCCAGGAGCAACTACTATGACCACCACGGTGGCTCGTGGCTCAGTGGTAGCACCATCGCCTCACAAATGAAGGAAAAAGGTTCAAATCTAAGGCAGGTGGAGACACTGGACATGTTTCCTTACATCTGTTGTCCCTTTCACGTAGCAGTAAACAGATAAGATTTATTTGGATTTTTAATCCGGAGGGTTAACCACCCACGATAACCCAAGAAAGTCAGTGCATCATCGAGGGCTGTGTCTTATTTCCATTGGGATCCTTTAATCTTGTCCCCCAGGATGCGACCCATAAGTCGATTAACACCCGGGTACCTACTTACTGCTGGGTGAACAGGGAACATAAGGTGCAAGGAAACATGCCCAACATTTCCACCCATACCGAGGACTGAACCATGGACACCGAAGTGTTAGCTGTCCATTCTCGATCACATCCTGGGAACCATTGTGCCTGGCATTCTTGGGCTACCCTACATTACTAACTCTTGGTTGTTAATACCTAATAAATGGAGTCTTCTCACTAACCAAATAACATGTCTTATTCTTTTCTCCTTCACTTCCACAAAGGAACGTTCTGATCGTTCTTTTTTATGGTCCATGGTACGTGCTTGAAGTTTTTTCTTTCGACTACACAATTTGAGGTCGGGTGTCGTGTGTCAGTGTTGGTGGGCAGGATTGTGTGTGATCACTGGGTGTAGGATAAGCTTTTGTGTGATCACTGGATGTGGAATAAGCTTTTGTGTGATCACTGGATGTGGAATAAGCTTTTCTGTGATCACTGGATGTAGGTTCTTCCTCACGGAAAGTGAAGTTGACACACAAAAAAAACTTTCTCTCAAGCTGTGGTGCAGTGTGCGTGTAGGTTTGCTCTGAATGGCCGTGATCACTTGTGTATTTGGAATTTAAGAACCACCACAACGTAAATTTGATGTTGCTCTTCCCTTTTCTTGTTCTTCTCCTCGTTGGGTTTTAAGGGCTAATGACAGCTCGTGTGTCCTTGCAGCTATTGTTATGGTTGAAAGGGTCACCACTGAGTAAGCTGTATATTGTTTCTTGTGTAAATAAGTTTATTTAGGTAAGAAAACACATAAATACAGATTACACAACTTATTGTACATAGTAACGTATGTATAGATTATCTAGGATAACCCAAAAAAGTCAAGCAAAGTGATTTATTTCCATTGGTAATGGTTGTGGAGGTGTTGGGGTTGTTAAGGGCTTCCAAGTCGTACGAATTATTGAGCCCTTCCTCCTGGGAGTAGATTATTATTATTATAATCAAGGGGGAAGCGCTAAACCTGGAGGATTATACAGCGCCTGTGGGGGGGGATGTGGAAGGCATTCAGGCTTAATTCGGGGAACTGGAGCACAGATCCAATTCCCTAAATCAAGAGCCCCTCACCAACATCAAGGAACCTTCCTTGAGGGGTCCTGGGAGTAGAGGAAAAAAAGATACTATCCAAATATGGGGAAAGGAATGAAGAAGGAAATAAAATTGCCTACGGAAAGAGAAACGGGAACATGAAATTTCCCATGTTAAATCAAGTAAAGCTCAGGCCTAAACACCGGCAGAGGGCCACTCCACCTTCAGTTGCATCGGTCTCTATCTCCCGGTGGACTGGTAAGAAAAACTGCCAAAAATCTAATGATAAATAAAAAAGAAGCAAGAGTTCCTTCCTGAAACAGAAACGGGAGCTAACGTTTCCATTTACATCAGGTGAACCTACTAGCCTGAACACCGGCAATGTTGGACACCTCTTCACCTGAGTTATTGACTGGTTTCCCTAACTAGCCGTAGAAATCCATAGAGTGGAAGAGCGTCCCGAGCGCTTCAATCGATTACTTGTCCAGCAGCATTTAGCGAAGATAGGGAACCCGGGAAGAAGACAGGGATTTTTTTTACATCGATACTCAGGGTAGGGGTAGAGCGAGAATTCTGCACACTGCCAGGGCCAAGTGCTCTACTTCTGATTGTAGTTAAAGAGTAATGGCGGCCCGAGTACCGTATGCAACAAGTATGATGAAGCGGTGTCATCAAATCTCTCTGATATATAGGGATGCTCAGAGGATGATATAGGCTCATATGATTGCATACCGGGCTGAAGTGTCGAAGCCAGTCCCATCTAGGAAGAGCAGGAGGGACAAGCAACTCACTCTAAAAGGAAGCATGAACCTACGGTTGAGGAAGAAGACTGTTACTAATTCCTGAATAGTAACTCCGGATAACCCAACAAAGCCAACCAATGTAGCCAAACATTGTTTTACCAGACGAGAGTAGACATCTCAGCTTAAATGACCCTCCAAGCTTAGCATCCCTCACCCCTCCCTAGAAGTTCAGACACTGTACTCTCCACTTGCAGGACTCAAGTCAGACTCATCAATCTCCCTGAATCCCTTCACGCCAAACCCCTAAAACCACTTGTCTCCACTCACCTCAATCAAACACGCCTGCTGGATGCTGAGTCCTCTCCCACCTCAATCTCCTTCACACCCTCCCTCTAGTCCTTTCTTGGACGACCTTTCTTCCGCCCCGAATTCGCACACTTTTTTTGGTCATCCAATTCTGTTTTTTCTCTCTAAATGCCCAAACCATCTCAACAACCCCTCTTCTGCCCACTGAATGATTCCTTTCGTAATCCAACACTATCTTATAATTGTCTGCTCGAATATTTTTGCATAATATTCACACCATACATTACTCCACTACATAACATCTCTTCTGCCTCCAGCCTTAACCTAGCTGTAACGTTTAAAGCCCATGACTCACACCCATTTAAAAGTGTTGGTTACACTATTCTGTTACATTCTCTTTTAATCTACAAAAATTAACTTTTTCACTCCACAGACTCCTCAACACACTTATCCTTTTTTCTCTATCTATTCCGTGGTTCACTTCGTCTTTCACAAACCCATCTGCCGACAAGTCCACTCCCAGATATCTAAATACATTCACGTCCTCCACGCTTCCTCCTTTTAATCTGGTATGCAACTTTTCATTACTTAAATTTTCGTTATTCTTATCACTTTGTTCGTTTTCTGTATTTACTTTTAATTTCCTTCTTTAACACACCTTTTTGAAGTCTTGCCTGTGAGTTTTAGTACCTGCCTGCCATGGTTCGAGTCCCACTCATTCTGTGATTTAATCTTGGCCAATATTATCAGTACCACTAGAAGATAATATCGACTTTAATATTATTAATACTAGAAAAGAAATATCAACTATAATATCAATGCGAATGATAATACCGACTCTCATGTTATTAACACTACAAAATAATATCGACTCTAATATTAATTAAACTTGAATATTTTTTTCTGATAAGTCAGTTCCATTTTGAGGGGAGAAAGAAAGTTTTCATTTGTACCAGAGGGAGGAGGAGGCAGCGGGAGGACGAGGCAGCGGGAGGACGAGGCAGCGGGAGTCATCCTCCCTCTGCCAGCTCCTCCCGCTGCCTCATTGGCAGCGGGAGGAGCTGGCCATAAATCTTGTATTTTTGAAGGTAAAATATCAGTTCTGTGGAGAAGTGATGCACTTCTGGCAGTGTGGGAAGCCTGAGTCGCAGAGATAGTGTTTGTGTGGGGGGAGGGGAACTGTTGGTAGTGTGTGTGATACAGGGGTCCTGTTGGTAGTGTATGTGATACAGGGGAACTGTTGGTAGTGTATGTGATACAGGGGAACTGTTGGTAGTGTGTGTGATACAGGGGTCCTGTTGGTAGTGTGTGTGATACAGGGGTCCTGTTGGTAGTGTATGTGATACAGGGGAACTGTTGGTAGTGTGTGATACAGGGGAACTGTTGGTAGTGTGTGTGATACAGGGGTCCTGTTGGTAGTGTGTGTGATACAGGGGTCCTGTTGGTAGTGTATGTGATACAGGGGAACTGTTGGTAGTGTGTGTGATACAGGGGTCCTGTTGGTAGTGTGTGTGATACAGGGGTCCTGTTGGTAGTGTATGTGATACAGGGGTCCTGTTGGTAGTGTGTGTGATACAGGGGTCCTGTTGGTAGTGTGTGATACAGGGATCCTGTTGGCAGTGTGTGTAGCAAGGCACGTTGGTAGTGGTGTGTGGCAGGGGACCACGCTGGTAGTGTGTGGGGGCTTTGGTGGCAGGGACCACTTTGGTAGTGTGTGGTAGCAGGACCGCTGGTATGTTGTTTTTAGCGGGGGCCACGTGGTAGTGTTGTGTGGCAGGGGCCACGTGGTAGTGTGTGTACGGGGGCCACGTTGGTAGTGTGTGTGGCGGGGGCCACGTTGGTAGGGGTTAGTGTGTGTGTGTGGCAGGGCCACGCTGGTAGTGTTTTGTAGCAAGGCCCGCTGGTAGTGTGTGTAGCAGGGACCACGTTTGGTAGTGTGTGTGCAGGGACCACGCTGGTAGTGTGTGTAAGCAGGGACCACGCTGTAGTGGTGTGGTCAGGGACCGTGGTAGTGGTGTGGTAAGCAGGGCCCGCTGGTTGTGTGTGTAGCAAAAACCACGTTGGTAGTGTGAGCAGGACACGCTGGTAGTGTGTGGTGGGCGGGCCACGTGGTAAGTGTGTGTAGCAGGGACCACGAGGGTAGTGTGTGTGCAGGGCCCACGCGGGTAGTGTGTGTGGCAGGGCCACGCTGGTAGTGTGTGTAGCAGGGACCACGCTGGTAGTGGGGTGTGGCAGGGACCAGGTTGGTAGGGGTGTGTGTGGCAGGGCCCACGCTGGTAGTGTGTGTGGGCAAGGGGGCCACGCGGGTTGTGTGGTGTGCGGGGGACCACGCTGGTAGTTTTGTGTGGAAGGACCACGCTGGTAGTGTTTTGTAGCAGGGCCCAAACGTTGGTAGTGGTGTGGGCAGGGACCACGCTGGTAGTGTGTGTGGTGGCAGGGACCACGCTGGTAGTGTGTGTAGCAAGACCACGCTGTAGTGTATGTGGTGGCGGGACCACGCTGGTAGTGTGTGTGTGGGGCAGGGACCACGCTGGTAGTGTGTGTGGCAGGGACCACGCTGGTAGTGTGTGTGTGTGTGTGGCAGGGACCAGCTGGTAGTGTGTGTGGGAGGGACCACGCTGGTAGTGTGTTTTAGAAAGGGACCACGCTGTAGTGTGTGGCAGGGACCACGTGGTAGTGTGGTGTGGGCGGGGAAACCACGCTGGTAGTGTGTGTAGAAAGGACCACGTTGGTAGTGTGTAGCAGGGACCACGCTGGTAGTGTGTGTGGCAGGGACCACGCTGGTAGTGTGTGTAGCAGGGACCACGCTGATAGTGTGTGTGGCAGGGACCACGCTGGTAGTGTGTTGTAGCAGGGACCACGCTGGTAGTGTGTGTGGCAGGGACCACGCTGGTAGTGTGTGTGTGGCAGGGACCAGGTTGGCAGTGTGTGGGTGTGGCAGGGACCACGCTGGTAGTGTGTGTAGCAAGGACCACGCTGGTAGTGTGTGTATGGCAGGGACCACGCTGGTAGTGTGTGTGGCAGGGACCACGCTGGTAGTGTGTGTAGCAGGGACCACGTTGGTAGTGTGTGTGGCAGGGACCACGCTGGTAGTGTGTGTGTGTGTGCAGGGACCACGCTGGTAGTGTGTGTAGCAAGGACCACGCTAGTAGTGTGTGTAGCAGGGACCACGCTGGTAGTGTGTGTGGGGCAGGGACCACGCTGGTAGTGTGTGTGGCAGGGACCACGCTGGTAGTGTGTGTGTGTGGCATGGACCACGCTGGTAGTGTGTGTAGCAAGGACCACGCTAGTAGTGTGTGTAGCTGGGACCACGCTGGTAGTGTGTGTGGGACCAGGGACCACTCTGGTAGTGTGTGTAGCAGGGACCACGCTGGTAGTGTGTGTAGCAGGGACCACGCTGGTAGTGTGTGTAACAGGGACCACGCTGGTAGTGTGTGGCGGGGACCACGCTGGTAGTGTGTGTGTGGCAGGGACCACGCTGGTAGTGTGTGTGGCAGGGACCACAATGGTAGTGTGTGTGTGGCAGGGACCACGCTGGTAGTGTGTGTGTTGCAGAGACCACGCTGGTAGTGTGTGTGTGGCAGGGTCGACGCTGGTAGTGTTTGTGTGTGGCAGGGACCACGCTGGTAGTGTGTGTGGCAGGGACCACGCTGGTACTGTGTGTGGCAGGGACCACGCTGGTACTGTGTGTGACAGGGACCACGCTGGTACTGTGTATGGCAGGGACCACGCTGGTAATGTGTGTGGCAGGG